ATCGATATGTTTGTTTAAAAAATTTCACTGAATACAAAATTAAATTTCTTGCTGAAAAGTTGAAATATTTCTGTTTTGATATCCCAACTTTGAAGATTGTAATTCATTAAATATAACACCAAAAACAACAAAATTATGGTGTAAATTCATCTACAAACTCTAAATTACACGTTGAAAAAAATATCATGTCAATCCGACTTAAAACGAATGAGATATATTTCTTTTAAAGAATGTCACATACTACAAAATTTAATTTTTTTGCTGAAAAACTGAAATATTTCAGCTTTAATATCCCAACTTTAAGGATTGTAACTTATTGAATATAACACCAAAAACAACAAAATTATAGTCTAAATTCATCTAAAAACTCTAAATTACACGTTGGAAAAAAAAAAACCACATGTCAATCTGATTTAAAACGAAAGAAATATGTTTGTTTAAAGAATTTTACAAAATACAAAAGTTTTTTTTTTTAAAATCAGGTCCAAAATCGGTTTTTACCCAGAACCGGCCGGGGCGGGCCAATTTTGATCAACTCCTAGAACCGAGAATCGATCCAGAGGCCCAAAAAAAAGTCTAGGTCCAATCCAGTCCACGAGGCTCAAATACTCACCCCTATGAGACAAGTAGTATAGATATCATTATAGGAGAAATTGATCTTTAAAATGATAATTGATACAACATAAATACAAGTTATCATTTCTTTTTTCTAGATTGGAATCCTTAAAATAGGTCAATGAGATCATTGATGTTTATTCATATTTTTATTTTTGTATTCGGAATCAAAATAGATATACTGGTAACTGTTTGGTTAGAAAGAGAAATATATACGGGTAAATTTGATAATAGAATGAAGAAATACGTTTACTCGATCACCACTACTGTCAGGTGGACAAAATCATAATAAACTTGTACAAAGAGAAATTGCAATGACTGTGGGCAGTAGCGATGAAGCAAGAGATTCAAACGTTTGTCAGTTGGTTTATAATAATAATAATAATAATAATAATAATAATAAATAAATAAATTAATTAATTAATTAATTAGAAAAATTATGGCGGGGATTAAATTGCAACAATTTCTACTTCTAAGACAATTCTCGAACACCACCAACGCCCGGTAATTATCAGTTTACTAGGTTATAATGTGTGAAAACTCATAGTTGGTATATTTAAAAATTTTATATAGATAAAAAATAATAAATGTTAAAAAAAACAAATATATTGTTGATTGTAAGTAATTATGAATTAATTTGTTAAGCAAAAAATAAACATAATAATATTATTAGGATATGATTTTGTAATTTCAAATTTTGAATTTAAATTGAATTTTATTTGTTAACATAAAAAAAGGAAATAATAAAAATAATAGAAAAATATCACGTGTCAAAAAGACATTCTAAAAAATTGACATGTGTTATGTTTAGGTTTCATTTATTAGAAGAGATAGATGTCTCTCACCCATTAGACGGGTGTGAGCGGGCAACGGGACTTCAAATTTTGATTGTAACTAATTATGAATTAATTTGTTAAGCAAAAAACAAACATAATAATATTATTAGGATATGATTTTGTAATTTCAAATTTCAAATTTGAATTGAATTTGATTTGTTAACATAAAAAAAGAAAATAATAAAAATCATAGAAAAATATCACGTCTCAAAGAGACATTCTAAAAAATTGACATGTGTCATTTTTAGGTTTCATTTATTAGAAGAGATTGATGTCTCTCACTCATTAAATGGGTGGGAGCAGGCAACGGGACTTCACGTTAAACTGATGTGGCACTAAAAAAAAAAGCAGTAAAACACCGTCTACACCACCCTCGGCAGGCGTTATCCGACGTTATGTTACGAGGCGTTAGTGTTGTAACAGCAGGAAACGGATTAATTTGGATCGAGATTCTCAACGGTAATAAATTGAAAATAAAAGCATATATATATATATATATATATATATATATATATATATATATATATATATATATATATATATATATATAGGGTTAAGTTTAAATGAGAATACTATTTAATGTGACAACGAGAGAACACTACTTTATGTTACTATTCTACTATGAATTTTGTGTATATAACGATATGATATTATTCATCAACAAATATACGAACAATCACACATTAATATTCACATTAAAATTTTGTATATACAACTTTATGACATTATTAATCGCCGAATATATGAAGAATCACATATTTAACATTCACGATAGAATTTACTATATATATATATATATATATATATATATATATATATACATATATATATATATATAATATATATATATTATAGTAGAATACTAATATAAAATTGAATATATTCATAATATAATTACTATAATACTATCCATATTAAATTCATAGTAGAATAGTAACATAAAGTAGTTTTCTCACGTTCTCATATTAAATAGTATTCTCATTTGAACGTGTGTATATATATATATATATATATATATATATATATATATTATATATATATATATATATATATATATATATATATATATATATATATAGACAGACACACACGCACACACAAACACTTGATTTGTACCCATGCAAAGCGGCAATAACAAATATATTTTTCGACGAATAATATATTGCAGAGAAATAACTACTAAATTTTGTTATCAGTTATTATGTAATAAAAATTATAACTTTTATATAAATATTTATATTTATACATTACGTTTATATTGTCTCTTTATACTATTAATGTAAATTAATTAATATTGGTGTTTAGAGTAAGAAATATAAATTAATTTATATACATGAATTTAATATTTTATAATCTTTACTTTACTTTAAATTGAATTTCTTGATTACTTTCCTTAATTCAAGTCTTCAAACATTTGACAATTATTAATGAATTATTTATATATAATTTATTTGTACAAAAAGCTTTATAACTTTTATCTTTTAAAATTCAAGATATAACTAATATGTTTTAAAAAAATATATTATTATTATTATTATTATTATATATATATATATATATAATATATATATATATATATATATATATATATATATATATATATATATATTTCAACTTTAACTCTAATTTTTACACTTATCCTCTCTAATAAATAAAAGTTTTTTTACCACTTATCACACTCTCATTCAATTTATCAAATGTCATTTTGTGGTTATTATGAATTAATTTTTTTTCCACTTGTTATTTTATAAGTTTTTCTATTTTATTAAATTTCATATAATATTTTAATGTAATAATTGCAATAAATATTGTAATAAATGGATATTAACTTCTTTAATAAACTTATCTTTTAATTTCCACATTCCCAAAATCAAAGCTCATTAATTTCTTTTATTTATTTGAATTTAAAAGATAAAAGATGTTTTCATTATAATAAATCATTATTTTCTTATTTTCTTATAAAGTCAAAGTTTTCAAATATTTTGATTTTTATATTGAACTTTTTTTTAAATTAATTCATGTAATACATAGGTCTCAGAGCTAGTATATACACTTCTAACTTTATTTTTTAACTGCAATCCAAATTATTTCTATCGTCTTATTTTAAATCATCAATTAATTTCTCATTCTATCAAATATGGATCAAAACCTCAACACTCCTCCTCCAAACACAAATACATCTCCGCCTCTCGGTTTTACACAATATGAGTTGTACACAAACATCCTCAACACTCAATGCAACTTTTTCAATCTTGTCTCATCCCCACCACAATTCCCTACATATCTTCCACAAAACATTTTCAACACATTCGCTACAATGCAACATAATACTACACAACCACCACCCACGCAAGAAACGGTACCCGACACACAAGCGGGGGGAGCCGAAAAAAAGGCCAACAAAGGGAGAGAAAGAAAAAAAAGGAAAGCGGTTGCGTGGAGCAATCGAAAGATGAACCTCCAACATGGTGGACTATGGAGGAAGAATACGTGTTAGTGGTGTCATGGTGCGGGACATCAAAAAATCCAACTCAAGTAAACAATATGAGAAAAGTTGCTTTTTATGAAGTTATGATCGGAAAATTTCGAACCATTTTGAAGAATGATACAAAATATCGCAATCACGATATGTTGAGTAGCAAGTGGGGCTCAAATAAGCAGGAAGTGCACCAAGTTGAATTCCATCTACAACAAACTTTCATTGCACAAGCAAAGTGGTGCGACCGATTTTGACGTTTATAAAGTGGAGAGGAAACAATATCATGTCGAGAGGGGTCACATTTTTTATCACAAAAGATTTGGGAGATGGTCAAGAAAGACCCAAAATGGAACAAAACGGATACATTTATGGAACAACAATCCAAGAGGTCTCGCGGCTCGGGTTCGGTCGACGTTTCGGACGAATGCACGAACATCAACCTCAATGCGGACACGGATGAGATACCGGACGACTTCAACGACATCGAAGAAATCTCCCCACCTCGACGACCGATAGATCGCAACAAAGCGAGACAGACTCAACGACATGCGACGGAAAGCCGAAGTAGACTTCAAGAGCAAGCGGAAATGAAACAGAAATTTGACGACCACAACGAAATCACACGTAAAAGATATGAATTGCAACGTGAGCATTTGGAGTTCCTTCGTCGTGAAGCCGATGAAGATTGCATTGCGAAGGATTTGACAATTCTTAAAACTAACAAGGAGAATACGCCACTCAAACGGTCGGAGGTGCTCCAAAAAAATGAAGGCGAAAATCGAACGGAAATATTTAGACAAAGGATAGTGTATCAATTTTATGTTTTCCAAATTATTAAGACTATCGTATTGGTATGTTTTTATCAATGTTTTCTTTCTTTGCTTTGTAACGCCGCTTTTAATTTTAAAATGATATGTTTAATTTAGTAGTTAATTGAATTATGTCTCATTAACTTATATGCTTTTTTTAATATTATGACATAAATTAAAAAAATAAAAAAACAAATTCGAAAAATATGATCAGGATGATAAAGATGGACAGGTTGTGATAAAATGTAATAATAATATTTTCCTACATCCATTAGCCTTAGAATATGCTCTTCAAGAACAATTACAGTGATTAATTTCTTCATTAACTTACCAACTTAATTAGATCCAAAGCTTTTTTACAGTGAGTTCAAAACCTACCCAAAATCATCTAAATTTGTCTACGTAAATACAACAACAAAGAACAAGACAGAAGTAGCAGATAACCTAATACACCTACAGAGAAGAAGAGCTTTCATCATCGGAAGAACTGTACTGTCGCTTTCCATGAAATCCATCAAAAACTGGACCTCGGTTTTTTACCAATACTGCCACTTTCTGAGTGGATTCCATGTTTATGCAACCAACTTCCTTGCACACCCTATCAAGAACAGTCAAGAAATCCCTCACCACCATAAAGATTCTAAAAGGCTGAGCTTCAAATTTCACTGAGTTTCCATGGAAATACTCCGTGATTTCTTTGACTACAGAAAGTGACACCGCTTCCTGGGCATGAATCTTGATGACCTCCTCTTGTGCCATCTTCAAGAACTTCTTCATTGCATTGGAAAACGTCTTGTTGTTTGAACCTCCTGCTTCAATCAATCGAACAACATCCATAACATTTGCAATCCCGTTTGTTAATCTCACCACATCCCCATTCAGAACCTCTGAATCCATTCCAGCAGCTTTCTTGACATTTGAAAGACCCGAACTCAGACTAGAAACAATTTGAAGACCAAGTTTCTGGATTTGATTGTCATCATGGTTAGCTGTTGTGTTTGAAAATCGGGCACCTTCAGTTCGAACTATCTCTTGAACAACAAAGTGCAAGAGGGTGGTTTTTCCATCAGCACCCTTAACATCAATGAGTTTCAAGAGGGTATCGAGTTTGAATGCCTGAGCATCTCCACGGTTTGTGCCAATATTCATACGGTTTCCGGTTTTGAGCACAGCTTCTAGCAGCTTTAGGAACATCCTGCTGTTTTTAAGTTCTTCACAAGCAACCTGATTTAGATTGAAACATTTGGGAGCTATTAAAACACTAAATCATGAATATTGTCATTTACAATTGATGTTAAATAAAATTTACCTCTAGAGTTTGAAACGATTGTTTGAGGTATTCGACTTCTGAATCAAAATTGGAAACAAAGAGCATTGCACCAACTCTTCTAAATGCAAAAGGCACATCAAGAACAGCCTTGAGAAATTTCTCAGCTGGACCAAGTTTGAGAGGTGAATCGTCTTGATGTTCTTGAAGTTTCTGTTCTTCATCTTTTGTTGGAGCCATCTTCATTAAACTTTCAAGGAGCTCGGTGCCCAGTGTATCTGCATTGCCTGTATAATCGGTGCATAATGTGATTGATACAGTGTCGTTTATAAATTATGGTGTCGTGTAAATGGAAATGGAAATGGAAATGAAGAAGCTCACCTTCTAAAAGTGCATCACAAACTTCCTCAGTTGTCACGCTAAGTGCCCTCAATGAGATTGCGATGTTCTGAGACTTCTTTGGATCGAGAACTTGGTTTTCATGGCTGATTGTTGAGGAAAGAATCTGGCGTTTGATTGTTGATTTTTCGTTTGAATTTGCATTAGGTGGTTTTACGATGAATAATGTCTCTATCATCTCTTCATTTAATCTGTTATCAACGGCCCCAAATCATAACATGAGAAGAACAGACAAAAACATATAAGGAGGAGAATATCGACAGGTTTCTTACTTAAAGGAGCTGGATTTGAGGTGATCCCACACCATTTCATGATCAGAGCTTGCTCTCACTTTATCCCAATGAAGAGGTTTTAATTTTGGTTTTGGGGTTTTCTCGTTTGTTTCAAGATTTTCTTGATTTATCGACAACATTTCTGTAGGAGAGATCGCTGGTTGATGGCTAGATATAGGCACATGTCTTGCAGGTTTGATCAAAACCGGTGGATTCAGCCGAGTTGCTGGTGGTGGAGTTGTGGGGATTAGGGTTTCTCTGTGCTTCGTCGGTGGCTGCGGCGGTGGCGGGATTCTCGCCAGAGGAGAGCTTTGATCGTTTGAAGAGTTTGATAGTCTGGGTGACGACTCTAAGCTGTTCTTACTCAAACCAACATCCGGAGACGGGATTATTAAAGGATGCGGCGGCAGTGGTGGTGGTGGAGGTGGCCTAGACGGCGGAGGAGCAGTTTGAATTGCAACAAGGTCTGGCGATTTCAGTCTTGCATTTCTCGGGCTCAGGCTAACCGGTGGAGAAATACTTAACGAAATGGACCTCGCAGGAGATCCTGAACTTGACGAGGAGTAGGACGAAGAAGAAACCGACCCAATACTCCTACGCGACTGATAATTACCGGTCGCCGCGGCGACGGTAAATGCTCGTCTAGCACCGGATCCACCACCGTCCGATGCTCTCGGAGAGTAAAATTCGTCAAACTCTTCGTCTTTCGATTCCACCTCAGAGGTTTCATAACATCCATTTTGCATAATAGTTTGACTACGTCCGCCACCGCTACCACTTAACGGCGGTAACGGGCGGAGCTCCGGCGAACCCACCTTTTGCAAACTCGAATCCTCTTCACCCCGATTATGACGACCACTGGTACCAGTAGCATCGACCCCACCATGAGAATTAACAAGCGTGCCCAGATAAAGGAACTCCGAGCTCGATTGCGACGGACGATTGAGCTTCGGGATTCGATTATAACTACTATTTCCACCACCACTTGCAACATTATTCGCAGCGGCACTAAACACACTGTTAGTATAAGATCTTTGAGGTTTTTCATCACTTAACGACTGAGAATCGTCATGATACCTTCGCTTTTTAATCCTCAAGAAAGCAACAATGAAAAGAACAACAACGGCAGCAATGGCGAGAGTAATGGCAATGGGAATGAGTTTGGATGAAACGCGTTTTGGTTTCGGGGAGGTGGGGAGATTAAGGGAGGAAATGTTGGCCGGGAAAGAGGCGGAAGAGGAGGCAGACGGCTGAGGAGGTGGCGGTGGCGGTGGCGGCGATGGGAAAGACGGGAAGAATGGTTGGTCATTGGTCGGGGTTGTTGTTGGGGTTGGGGTAGATAAAAAAGGAACGTTTAACGATGGTGGTGAAGATGGTGGCTGAGCAGAAGGAGGTTGAACCGGAGGGAGTATTGGGGGGTCCTGCGGGAAGAAAGGTTCGTGTAGCGTCCGACGGTTAAGGGAGGAGACGACGGTGGTAGCGGTGGCGCAGGTGGATGTTAACACGAGAAGGAAGAAAAAGTTGTGCATTCTCATGGTTGGATTAGCAAGAGGATCCATGATTGAAAGCTGAATATCAAAGAACAGGGTTTTCCATGGCGCTCTGTGTTTTACTGTGTTTAGTGCTGCTAATGCGTTAAAGATTTTACAGTGATGGGATGGGGAGTGTTCGTTCTGACCCCCGAGGACTCGAGGACTGTTTCCAGCTAAGATTCTTGCTATGAAAACTCCAGAGCTATTATTGACATATTTAGATCCTTGTTGTTTCAACCACGTGTACTTTATGCATTCAAAATTGCATTGTTTTTCTGGATTTGTAAATTTAGGTTTGCAAAAAGCCGTGACAAAGATTTAGGTTTTTGCTAGTGTGGCGCGTTTCTCAATGGAAAATTGGATACCGATACGTCCAATTACTTTCTCATTTTAAATAAAATTACACGGTCGGTTTTATAGATTACCTTGATAGATTGATAGGAAATTCCGAAATTGAGTAAATTAATGATTATAAATAAGTTTTTAAAAAATAAAAAATAATTTTAGAAAATGACTATATTTATTTTTCATTTAGCATTTTACAATGCCGCGCATTGCGACGGTTATTTGAGAAGTAATAAAAAGTAAGTTGCTCCATCTCAAACCATGAATTTAGAAAGATTTAATCTTGACAAACCATAATAATCTGAGGTCAAAACAATGCTAATAAAGATAATAAATCCGAATTATATATGAAATGCATAAGTAAGTAATATTTTTTTAAGTTAACGAATGTAAGTTCAAATAATTAAAAAGTATCATATGTGATCCGGCTTATACGTATAAAAATAAGCGCGGAAATAAAAAGATACATTTAAATGTTGACGGACTCGAACTTATATCCCAACAGGTACATTAATTTTTTTTAAAATAAACGAACTAAAGTTATAAATTAACGTCGAAACAATTTACGCTGAAACATTGACCACCTCTAATTTATACCAACACATATGAAAGGTTAGAAAAATCGGAGGGGTGATAATTGTAGGAAAATCAGAATCATACTATGGAATAAAACAAAAGTTTAGAAAATAAAAAAGGTAAAACTGATATTTTTAAAGTTCAAATATAGGGATGAATATGATATTTTAAAAGGTTAATGGTTGAAAATGCTATTTACTAAAATATGAGAATAATAGCAATTATGATATTTTAAAACGTTAATGGTTGAAAATGTTATTACTAAAAATATGAGGATAATAGCAATAGCAAAATTAGTAGGATGATTTAAACTACTAAAAGCTAAAAATGATTAAAAAGTGAAAATGAAAAATAAGAAAAATTGAAAGGAGTAAAAACAAAAGAAATTTAATATGGGGACATAAATTGCAATATTAAAAATGATTGAAGAGCTAAAATGAAAAATAAGCAAATGTAAAAGGGAGTAAAAGCAAAAGAAGTGACTACAACTTTTATTTAAAATAGATATAATGTGTTTGATCTTTAAATTCTAAAAAAAGAAATTGGTTTTTTCAAAATAAATCCTTTTATTTATACTGGAAATGTCTATTTGAAAATTTTTAATATCATTGTTTTAATTTATATCTTAATATCGTGTATATTTTAAATTTATTATGTTTGCTTAATTTTTTATTTGTCTTAATTAAAAAAAAAAAATTTGAAAATTTCGAGATTGTTCCTGGAATTTCGGATTTTTTTTCGAACTCCAAAATTTATATCTGAAATTCTGAAATGTCATTCGGAAATATATTTTTTTGTCAGAAAAAATGTTTTTTTTTTCGTTCTGGAATATTCATTCCGAACTTAGTGGTTATTTTTATTATAAACAATTTTTTATTTATTTTTATTCAAATACACGTTAAGATGATGTTTATGATTTCATCTAAAAATAACTTATTGCTTTTTTGAAAAGTCAATAAGTCAAAAAAATGCTTGCAAATATGATAACGATTTTTTAAAATAACTTCTCATTAACCTTTCATAAATAAGATTTTAATAAGTTAGGATTTCTAATTTTTCAAAATTTCTTATAACTTTTGAGGTTGTAAAAGTCAAATATCCTTTAAAACATGTATAAGTTAAGATAGATATTTTTTTAAAAATAAGTTATTAACTTTTTATTCCATAAAAATTAATTCAATATTTTTTGAAAAACTTATTTTCTTATCAACATAAGTCAATAAGTCATTTTGATGTTTAAAATGACATCTCAAACACCATCTTAATTGTTGTTAGATTACTCGACTTCTCTTGATTGATCATATAATTATCAAAACATCTATCATTTGGCCTATGTAGTTTTATTTATTGTGTGATGAGTTTTTATGGTTGCATTTTTCAAGAAAATTGATCTAAAAAATTATATTAGTTTTTATATATAAATTTTATTTAAAAATAATAATATATTTGTTAAAGAACACTTATCCTTCACTATTCAAACTATTAAAACCCTTCAATATCCAACTTCCACAGTCTCCATGTTAGATTTACAACACCTACACCAAAGGGACTTTAACCTAAAGGTATCAAAATGTTGAAAATATGTTCATCCCTTAAGAGGTTGAAGGTTCAAGTCTCATGTTGACAAAATGAGTAGTTTAGAAGTAAGATTTTGTAGGTTTGTATGTTAATCATTCAAAAAAAGATCTACAACACTTATAATGCCACCATCCTCTACCACCACTACCATCATTTGTCTCCTCCACTAGACATTTTTGCAACCCTTTGACCTTCTCCTACGGCCAGAAATCAACCACACTACTATTTCCCATCTTTTTCCCTCTTTTTCCCGCAAAAGACCTCTGTAGTCCAAGGGCGGCTCAACCAATTTGGGGGCTATAAGTAGACAAAAAAAATGAAACCTTTCGGTTTTGTAAATTAAATGAAAGGTAAGCTAACATATTCAAACCTGAGACCCTTAGTTTATTAAACCAACGCTTTTATCATCAGGCCAAACTCTAACTTGTCTTTCTAACCCAAAAAATACGTATATATACAAATATAATTAACATAATAAGATTTAAAATTTGAGTCTCTTTAGAATCGGAGGCCCTAAGCCTTTGCTTAGATTTTTAAATGATAGAATCGGCTCTGCTGTAGTCCCACCTATTTTCCTCTAGTCTACATCAAACCGTAGTTAAAGCTCGTCGTGTGTGTTCTCTCCAAATCGAACATAGTCGCTCACGTCAATGTTCTCTCAATATTTAACACAACTACAAACCCTAGTTTAATGTTGTTGTAGGTTTAGATTTGAAATGGTTACTAAATATGACTTGTTTTATGTGATTCTCAAACTTGATTCTGACCCACGAACCCGAATCACGAACCTTATGAACTCGTATAGTTAAGCAGGTTAGGCGGGTCAAGTCAGGGTTTGATTCATTCGATTTTAAAGGTTGAACAAGATGAAACAAATATTTACATGGGTCGTATGTGGGTTGAGCTTTCTAACTTACTAACCCAACACATGACATGATTGCCATTCTTATATATAAAAGAGGTAACTGATTACTACTTAATCACTTTGAAACGTAAATCTATTTAGTTTTAAACTTAGAAAATAAGAATATCAAGAAAACAAATAAATAAAAATATTATGATAGGCCACAATAAATCAATGATTTCAAAAATACATATAGTTTGGGACTAATACTTAACATAAAAACGTAAATGGTTTATAATAAATAAATATTTATTTGTAAATTTTTTTTATGGCAACGTTAAAACATATTATCGGAATATATAAGTGAAAAAATAACAAATAAATAATTGTAAAGTTTTAGTTTAAACGATCAAAAAGTTATGTTAGAAGAAAACTGTATTTGTTTTTAACAAACTTGAATATTGTTTAGTATCTTCCATATATGATATAATGTTAAAAGAAATGCAACATTCTATAAATAGATTTAATCTTGTTGTAAGGTATTTCTTTTTGCTTGGAACAAGAAGGTGCTATATAACGGATCTATTCATTTATTGCTTTTTGGAGACGTTAAAAGTTAAAATGGTGTTATTCTCGTTCCCATAAAAAGATTGCATCATTTGTTTTACTTAATAAAAATAACTTTTGACTAATATCATGTAATTATTAAACAACGATATATTTGAATGAACTCCTACATGATGACTCATTGCTCCGGTAGCAATAACCTCTCAAGTGTGAATTCTGAATATTGTAGATTTTCTTTTTGAACGTCAAACTTTATCATGGAGTTATAAGGCTAGTGTCAGTCGTTTATTATTATGATATTTATGTTTACATTTAATTTTTTTTTGGCATATTACCATATATATTTGAGAAAATTACTAATACAGTCAACTTTGTTAATTATATTAAAAAAAAAAAAAAAAAAAAAAAAATTACACACAACAGCCATCAATTTCGTAGATTGATTCGGTCCTTATCACATGTCATTCCTTGTGCGAACTTCTTATGTTCTTTCAAATTTGTATTCCTTGTGCGAACTTCTTGTATTTCATTCAAAGACTTGTCACCCTTTGAACTTGACGATGTGGCTTTTCATTTCTTTTGTAGTAGGTGGTTGAATTTCAAATAGGGATGGGAATTTGGTCCAAAAACTCGAACTGAACCAAATCGAATTATGTCCGAATAAACAATTTGATTCGGTTTTCAAATATATCTATATTATGCTTATTCGGTTATCGGTTATTCGGTACGGTTACCGAAATAAGAGCTTATTCGATTATAAATATCCGATCCGGAATTGAAAAGTCATTTAATTTTAATCATAAGTACTTTCCCTTTTTAGTCACTAGTAAATAGTATTTCCGAATAGTTATTTCGTGTTTGACAAATGTTATTTTGGATATGGTTAAAAACTTAATATTCTTATTTTAGTTCGGGTGTTGAATGTTTAATATTTAACTTATATACTTATATATAGATTTTTAGGTGTTTTGGGTGTTTAATGTTTAGTGTTTAGTATATTGTTTCATAACTGTATTCCGATTTTTTGGTGTTTGGCGTTTACACTCTTATATCGCAAGTATAGTTAATTCATGTTTACATTCTTACCACACAAATTCTAACATTTTTTGCACCCTATACATTGTATTATTTTTAATTAAAAATTTTGTTTATTTAAAAGATTTGTTATGGAATCATAAGCTACAAAGGTCATAAAAAATACAATGTTTATAATCATATTGTAAATGTTATTCTGGTTATAGAATCCTAGTATGGTTTATTTGG